ACACACACACACACACACACACACACACACACACACACACACACACAGGTGTCTTCATGGTGTATCTAGTCATTTACAAACAACCACGCTAATGTCCCCTGTGCCTCTGTTCCAAGGCTCCCAGCTCGAGGGTGGGATCTGCAAACATCCCACAATTCCTGACAAGGAAGTGCTGCTATTGCCGGCCAATCACGTGACTATGGCAAAAGGAACGGGACTGGTCCACACGGCGCCAGCTCACGGCATGGAGGATTACAGTGTGGCTTCTCAGTTTAAACTCTCCGTGGTACGTTCTGTATTTTACAATGTCAACCTTTGGGAAATGAAGAAAAGCTTCTACCATGCAGGACAGTGACAGTTTTGATAGTTACTTGTTTCAGTCATTCATCAAAGGAAAACAATTGTGTGTGTGTGTGTGTGTGTGTGTGTGTGTGTGTGTGTGTGTGTGTTCAAAGGAGTGCATGGTGGATGAGGACGGGAAGTTCACTGAACTGGCCGGCCCTGAGCTACAGAATCTGTCTGTGATGACAGAAGGCACTGACAAAGGTACAGAACAATAAGTGAAAAGGGGATACACTTACTTAGCCTGTGTGAATCTGTGAGGGCATGTGTTGTTTTTCATATCTCTGTCTGTTTATCACGTTTGTGTTTTGTGGATTGGCCTGGCGGTGTGTGCTAGTGATCTCCATGCTGACGGACAGGGGCGCCCTGGTGAAGGAGGAGCAGTGCGTCCACAGCTACCCGTATGACTGGAGGACGAAGCAGCCCATCGTCATCAGGCCCAGTAAACAGTGGTTCATCAACACGGCATCGCTTAAAGACAAGGCCAAGGTGAAGCTGGAAGACATATTTTTACTTTTTGTTGAGCTCCCATTTTATTTGCTGGAAAAAGAAATACAGCCTGTTCCTAGTGCAGATAGAGCGATGCATTGTGCTCTTCCAGGAAGGGACTCGCATCTTATTTACGGGTTGTTCCAAAGGAAGGTGTGTGTGTGTGTCCGTGTGTCCAGGAAGCATTGCAGAAGGTGCGTGTTTTGCCAGAGTCGGCGAGGGGCAGCCTGCTGACCATGCTGGACAGACGGACGTACTGGTGCATCTCCAGACAGCGGAGCTGGGGCGTCCCGATCCCAGTCTTCTACCACAGAGAGACCGGAGAGGCTCTCGTCAACAAGTAAGCTGATACACACATGCAGACCAACTGGCTTGATACGCGCTAACGCTACTTGCACACTCGCAATTTTTAGAGTTACTGCAGACACTGTGTGTCACACTCGATTACTTTTGGATATTTTATCTCCTTTTTGTTTTGCTGTAGTTGTCTGATTTTATTATATAGCAGCCCTGAAATGTTTTTGTTTCTGATTAAATCATGTAAAGCTCTTTATAACTCTGTACTATTATTATTGTTATTGTTATTATTGTTGTTGTTGTTTTATTAATGAGCATTCTTCCCATCTCTGCAGGGACACCGTGTCCCATATAGCAAAGCTCTTCAAAGAGAAGGGCAGTGACTGTTGGTGGGAGCTTCCTATTGAGACTTTGCTGCCAGAAAATGTGCTCCAGAAAGTGAGTGCATGTGTGATGGTGTGTATGTGAGATAATGAGAATAGGTTTGAACAAGCCTCAGTGGTACATCAGGTGATTGGCCATGGTAAGGGATATTCCCTCTCTAATATGATGAATATTATAATTATTTATGCTATTGTTGGTGAGAGTAGACACTGATGACTGATGAATTGTTTTTGATTTCCTCTCTACTGTCCACCTCTTAATAGAAGGCAACAATCGCAAGTTAGCCAGAGCTCAGAAGGATGTATTCAAAATGTTGTTCAAACACGTAATAATACATCTGAAAGGCTGTTAAAAGCAATGGTTTTATATTTGCTGTTAATGATTGAGCTGCTCTAATCAACATATTTCTACAGCACTGTGGCATTTTTATTCCACGTTAGCTCATTGTTTTGGTGAACACATCAGATTTCTCCGCTGTACGACTCGCAGCTACTAGCAGGTGAACAGTAGTGGAACATTTTACAGCTAAAGACAGATATTTTTGAGTTTGAGTGCCAGTTCTTCTGCCCCCTGGTGGCTTTAAAAAGTGATCAATAGAGCTTTGAATATGATTATTGATATTGTCATCTGTTTTCTGTTGGCCAACCAACTAATCACCTTATTGTTGTGCGTCTCTGTAGAGTAAAGCAGGTCCAGTGACTGACTACGTTCGTGGAGAAGACGTCTTAGACATCTGGTTTGACAGCGGAGCTTCATGGGCTGCTGTACTAGAAGGTACGTCTGAACTGTCCTGCTGTGCACATCGTACCAAGTAGTAATAGACTGGAGCTCATTTTCTGGAAGTCAGCATCCGTGAAATACTGTCAATTCTAATGATTCAAGTTTGACATTCCTTTATTTATAATGGTGAGAAGATGTTGATTGTTGAAAACTGTAAATATATATATGTGTGTATGTGT